ACTCCCACTTGCCAGTGTGGGACCCTGTTAGTCTCCTGACTGTCCTCAGGCCTTTTTCTTACCCGTGGTTATGAACGCAGATGTATTTGGGAAAAGCTAATAAAGCTAATTGGTCAGCAGACGGCAGCCGGTGGTTCGGACACTGCATTTCAACAAATGCTGTCTGCAGAGGTCTGGGCAGTATATCGAGGCACCTAACCTTAAGGTTTGTGGCGCTGTGTGGAAACATGTGTGAAGGGCATGTAGGCACACTGTACTAGAGCCTGACTGAACAAAACCAGAGAGAGGCCAGAATAAAGTGGGCAGAAGAACAGAACCTGATGTCTGATGGCTGAGCTGATTCTATCCATCCGATTCTCAGGCCCCGTATAAGGTGCTGCGTGCGACTTAATAAATGTCACATCTGTTGTCGTGACGTCTCTGTTCTGTGCTGAGATCTTGCAGCTGCTTCGAGCCCTTTTGCCACATATAAATTACTGCAGATGGAAATAATCTGATTTCCAGAGTGAACTTAGATTGCTGCAGAAATGATGTTTGACATTGTATTCAGAAAATAAATAATATCACAGAAAGTGGCTCGAGCTGGTCAAACAAGGCAAAATAAAGCCAAGCACTTAGAGCAGATATCTGGTAATAAGCGATCACATTTATCACTGCTATGGATGCTCCTTCTTCAGCTGTTTCATTTACTGTCGATCTGTTTGCAGTTTCATCCTCACTGGCAGCATCAGTCTGTCCATCAGTGCATCACTTTGGGTCAAATTAAATATCGAATGGACTGCTGTGAAATGTTCTACAGACATTTATGTTCCTGTGAAGGTGAATTGTAATCACTTCATCAGGTCACAATTTTAATCTATTGAGTGCTTTGGCTTATGACGAAATACCTGCAAAACGAATGACTTTCCCATCATCCTCAGCTGTACTCGTGTGTGCATACGGTGTTCACAGGGTACTTATTTCTAAGTATAGTTGTGTCCAATCAAATTACCAGAAATTAATTACTATGCTTGTGAACCTTGGGTCAGATACTATTAGATTGCTTCAGCTCAGTGGTGCTGATAGAGTTGTGGGTCTTCAGGTTTGTAGCGAAGCTGCTAAACCCTGTCTGTTCACTGCACCGTCGACTCCGTGTTAATGATCGTGCAAAATACAGCAGCTATTAAATATGCATTCCTTTCTGTGTTGGGAAATGTGTGGACAGAGGCCGCGACAGCAGAGCTAAAGAAACAGTTCAGTTTGCTGCTGCAGCTCAGCGACACTCACTATGAGCCAGCAAGACATTTCAGGCCTAATCCAAAGTGTTGGTGTCGAACGCCTCACAGTTTTTCTTGAATTATGTCCTTGTTAGCAAGCAGCACCTGATGTGCTTGGACATTCTGAGTGGCCCTTTGAGCTGCTTCCTCAGCACAAAGCTACAGGTGACAGAAGAGCAGGAAAGCAAACAAAGTCAGCTTGACTGATCACTCAGCTGAAGCACTGCAGAGTGTTCTTATACAAAGAAGAGATCTGAAGCCCGATTGAACCACTGAGTCACACTTTTAAAGGTTTTTTAAAGAAATAAACACAGAGCTCTCACTCGGGTTTCACATGATGGATCAAACTGTTTGATTAGCCAGTTAGAATAAAGGCATTTGGGCCAGCTAGGAGACTTTAAAATAGAGCCATTGCCAAAGCTCTGCAGGCTACAGTGAGCTGTGGCAGAAAAATGATTAGTGCAGCAGGCGACATTCAGGGCCAGAGAAGCTTTAATGAAATCTGCTGTACTATATTTTAATAACTGCAGTCTTACTGGAAATTGTAATGTCACCTCAAGTTACACAAGGCATGAACAAAGCATTCAAATCATTATGACGGCCATTTTTGTGCACAAAAACGCCGCCGCTGATAAAGTCTGGCTGTGCCGAGAGGAGGTCAAATGGAGTCGGAGGAAACAGCCACAAGCAGGAGAGCAGCACATCAATATGCCTTTCATGGACCTGATTCAGGAACTGAGGCACAACGAAAGCAGCCACAAGAGCAAATACTGAACTGAGGTTTGAGCCCTGAAAGACATCACAGGGAGGAGTTTCAGATTTAGAGCTAAGTGAAGTCAGATCAGTTTAAATGACGTCCTTGATGTGGGGAAGATTCAAGTGTCCACCACTAAAGCAGCTTCAGCCTCTGATAAAAGATGAAGGTTCCTGGTGTTTTACTGCAAATGCTTTTGTGTAGCAGCAAAGACAGCAGGGCTGTGCAGAGAACTGTCAGTATGTTTATTACCATCTTTATAATACAGCTTTATTTTAAATAATGCCATCAGCTCGTGACCATAGACTGTATATAAAAGATGGCTGCAGCCCTGTGACATGCGGCTACAGTCGATGAAAGGCTGGAGCATCGACTTATAAATGAACACCAGCAAGCTACGTTCATAAACAGTATGGGTGCAAACAAACATGCTAACTGGTGCTGAGTAAAGGACTTGCTGTAATTTCACTCACCAACACTGAAGCACAAACTTCTTGGGCAGGCAGCACGCCGTGTCACCTGTCAGGTAACTGCAAATACTCAGAGGCACAAACAGCACAGATAAGCTAAGCTAAAGCTAGCAGAGAGCAGCAGAAGAAACTGCCCACGTGGATACCAGTCAGACTAAATGCTCATGTCATCTCGACACTTTATGGCTTTCCTTGGTTTTACAAATGAAATTCACAGCCCTCCTTGCTAATGCTCGTAGCCACACCCTGAGCAAAGTGTGGTTACACATCACTTTGGTTGCATGCTTATCTAAGGGTTAGCACAGGTGTCATCGTTTACTCTCCCCGCTCAGTCGGTTTCAGTTTCCATCCACAGAGAGAAAGAGAGGAGGGGGACGGAGAAGCCTGTCAGGGCTGCTGGCGTTGGAACTTCAGTTGTATATTAATATGCGTTTAAACGACTGGGATTCCTTTGGTCAGCTGGGAGGAGCAGCAGTGTTTAAATGTGTAGCTGACAAGCACACATATGCCTAACTTAAAGGTTTTTTTTTTTCAATCATATTATATCAGGATATAATGTGTGCTATAGTGTGGGCCCCTGGTGGGCCGTGACGGTACTGCAGGGGAGTCATGTACAGTTACGGTCACCTGTTTATATACATTTATTTATTTATATAAAAAACAAATTAGTTATTTTGAGATATTTCTCATTACTTTGACCTGAATTTACAGTTCTTGAAATGTGTCCCTTGGTCTGAACACTTTGCATATGACTGGGTACCAACACCATTTATAACCAGCAGCCTGGGTTATTTATGATTTTGGAATAAAACGAAACGCATCAATGTCTCTTGTATTTTGAATAGAGTCAGGCTTTAAGATAAGCTGGGCCCCATGATTTTCTGTTTATATGGAAACGGCCATGTTTTATCTTTTTTTGTGTGCTTCTTTGGCCAAATTCAGAACTCCATATTTTGTGACCTTGGTGGCCAAAGGTAATTTGCAGCACTTTCCAGTGTGTGAACTATTCTCCTTAGTTTGATCTGTTTTTCAGAGAAAGTTGCAAAGCTGCATGTGTCTTTACATCTACCAGCTCCTGGGCCTGAACACCTCCAGATGGGAAGTTTAGGTCTCAGACTGAGGAACATTTCCCACATTATGGGATGATGTAAATTGTGGAGCAGCAGTGATTTGCATTCTAAATAGACTGGATGTGTTGTCTGGTGTCCTGTTGAAAGGCAGTTGGGTGAATAGCTTCCAGCTTTTGCTGATGGTTATACTGAGAAATGTTACTAATGGTGACATTATCGGCTCTCTGGGGTTTCAGTTGTCATTTAGAATTTCTCTCAGCATCCTCGTGTGTTTTGGCCTGTGCAGGTACATTGGTGCAGGTTCATGAATGCAGGCGCACCCTGAGCTGTCTCATAAATCCCTCCAGATTAATGTGATCAGTAAGACAGAGAGATTCACACTGACTTTTAAAACCCACCAGCTGTCTCAAAATAAGAGCTGAAATCCCAGCGTAGGGGAGCAAGTATTTTAAAGAATGGAGTGAAACATGCAGCTATTTTGTATTGAACTGTGACTGTGTACAAGGTACTTGAGGAGATAACAGGGGCTTTGCAGTGGTGATTCAAATCTTGCATCAGAGATGATGAAGTCGGTCTCCTGGAGAACTGCCTCGTGGTTAAAATAGTGAACCCGTCTGTAAAAAGACAGATGTGAAACCATAAATCAGGAGAAAGTGCAGCGTTTTGATCTGATGGGACAGCCGTGCGTGCTGCTCTCTGCTGTGTTGTTCCACGTTTTGATTTCATATTATACAAACTGCATGTGAGATGTTTCACTGCGCAGAGAAAAGAGGGAACATATCTGCAAATTCACAGAAAACAAAGAGAGGAATTAAACCAAAGGCATATTTACGTATCACTGCTGGCATAACTGACATGCATGTCGTGTGAGCGAGGCAGCGTGTGGTCTGCAGGACTTAGTGGAAGGTTTAACAAATGTCTGCTGATGCTTTCAAAGGAAGATGCAAAACAGAGGATGGCTGAAGGTCTCGTCACAAACATGTAGCTGCTAACTAAAGCAAAGTGACTTCGTTGCTGTGTTCTAGGGCAGGGAGATGTGTTTTGACAATACTGGGCCCCAGTGTAACATCATACTGGGACCACTCCAGCTTAGATATCTCACAGAACCATATCTGATATATCTGTGACTATGGGATGGCTCAGTATGTCAGTGGATGGGTCTTTTTTCAGTTTTCTTTCCTACTGTGAGTCAATGGGGGGTTTGTAACGGAGCCTCTGATTGGTAGATGTGTTCTTTCAGTCTGAGCTAAACATGAAACAGTTGGTGGTCTCTGAAGCCCTTCATGGAAACTCACTGGTGCTCACTGAGGTCTTCGTGTGTCCTCACTCTTGCGTTGCAGTGCTGGTGCTGCTGTTTGTGATGTGGATGAAGAGGAGGGATAAGGAACGCCAGGCCAAGCAGCTCCTCATCGACCCGGAGGACGACGTACGCGACAACATCCTGAAATATGATGAGGAGGGCGGTGGAGAGGAGGACCAGGTATACAAATGAACACTTCATGTTTTTGTAACTATTTATATTAGCCTGCTTCCTTCCATCACTGCCATACAGCAGCAACACACACACA